TATGCGCCTCGGAAATCCCCATAATACGGAACATCCGTTCCATCTTGCGTATCCACTCGGCCACGGCTAACGGGCCATTCTCCCCAGAGAAACGGGGCGGATCATAGGTACGGAATCGGCTGACCACAACAGCCTGGTCCTGCTCGACTGCGGCTTGAGGATCTCTGCGTGGCGGCATTCTGGAGATCCAAAAATACTTGAATTGATCAGTATAGCCAATTAAGAAATAGCCATACTAGACTTGAAATAATAAAATAAACCATAAAATCCAAAAACACCTAGCTTGGCTAGAGTTCCGGTATACTTAAACTTTCTATGTTTTGGCTCATAATGGAGTTCTGACTTAGTCTAAAGTCCTTGGACTTAGCTGTTCTATAGTTCTGTCTAGAGTTCTGTCTCTAAAGTTATCTGTCTTACAGGAGGATAGTCATCTAGGCCCCATACTTGAACTGAATTAAGCACTTGCAAAACTTAAACTGAGTCAGGTGACTTACCTCGGAGTCGGTGCGGGATGAGCGTGGCGTGGTCATGCTTTTCTAAACCTTGAAAGTATACAGAAACGCGCTCTGTGCTCTGATACCAACTTCTGTCACACCCCGCCTTACTAGCTTTGAAAAATCACAGTAAAATTTTCGCTTTTATTTTCGAAAGATCGTGCGAGCTTGGTTCTCGAAAATACTAACTTGTTGCGGGATGTCACAGATAAAAACTTACTTAACTTGCTCACAGACATATATAAACACGCAACCAAACTATCCGCTACGGATAATGGAATTAAACGTGCAATGTCTGAACTGTCTCGCACTGTCTAGTCTGCTAGCGGAAGCATCCGAAATATAGAAAATAACATGCATACATATCCGAATAATACATGATCATAAATACTGGGACATAAAATGTGCGTAAAAATGTCCAAGACTCTCATGACCACGCTTTGCCACATCTGTACTCATCCGGCACGCTCGACTCCATCTCCCGAAAAACCCAATGGGGGCGTGAGCAAACCACTATACTCCGCAAAGACCAGTACTGAATAAAACATCATTTATAATAACGTGTCATGAACATAAATAAATAAGAGCTTAAATTGTAAACTTTTTTTTTCTTGCTTTATTGTGGTCAAAAGACCCTCGGCCCTCGTCTGCTCGTGTGCACACCCCGATGGAATATTAAGGCCCTTGGCCTCTACCGGGTCCCAAGATGGGATATTAAGGCCCTCGGCCTCCACCTGGGAGAAACTAACTTTCTCGAGCATACCTCTGCCATGGTACAGATATTATACATGAACTTGAATCCCGTACATGACCCCCACTTGTTATGCTGAAAAGGACTACGCAAGTGCTGGAAAATCTGGGTAGCTGTCGGAGGCTCGACTCTCCTCAAGCTACCAAACATATACAAGCAAAATAATGTAAGTATTTTGCTTGACAGCTAAACTTAATCTGAAATGATCATTTTATATTATAACAGATAAGCAGACAGGCAGATAAGGCAGATTATAGATAAATAATTACATGCATACATAACAAAACAGATAAAACAAACAAGATCACGTAAACAAGTAAACTGGACTTGCTCTTCTGCTCGACTGGACTGATCTAGCGTTTCCGGATAAAGTCTGACTGAATCCTGGAAACTGAATTTGTCATTCTATCTTAATCTGGTTTGAACCAGCCGGTCTAACTTAGTCGAACCGGGTCCGCTTACCGAACCGGCTCGAGTTCGACTGGTGACCTAGGCTCGGTCCGGGCGGCACGCGCGCACGCTGACCGTGCGGCACTGGCTGCTTGCCGGTCAGGGTGGGAAGGTGACCCTCTCCGGCCACTTAACTTATACTAAGCCATGTCTACTCATGAAGCTCAATTAAATAAAGATTTTACATTTATCTAAAATTTAAACCGAACATGATTGAGCTCTTAACCTCATGAATTTTTTTAAAATTCACACAAGTCTCCAAAAATAACAAAACTTGGCAGTTAAATAGTAGACATAGACATGTACTTTCTGTCCAAATTTAGTGTCAATAGGACTTCATTTGCTTATTAAACTCATGACTTAAGCATAACATGAAAGTCAGTTATATACATACGCAAATTGCAACAATTTTGTAAAATCACATGAACAACGTTTTAATCTCAAACTCGGTCACAATGTTCATCACTCATAAGAGGATTTTTCATAAAAGTTTCGCATTCATAGCTTGCATGTGGACATATTACTCTCGCACATAAAATTAGTTCCACACGCATGCGATCTAAAAATTATAAATCCTTCATTTCTTATGATAAAATTATTAAATTTGGTATGCAGGCTCTCAACTCATATTTAAACATGTCCATAAAAGTTCATAATTTTATCCTGAGTATAACTCGAGTTCTACGCGTTTGAAGTCGCAACTGAATTTCGCGCATGTAAAGTTCATCTTGCATGTTTAACTTTAAAAATCAAGAACTCGGGTTATACTAAGCCAATTGACCTAATTCTTGATCCTATGAACTTCTCTCTTCCACAAAAAATAGATGTGTAAGTCGCACAATATCAGGTTTGGCATCGCACAGGTAAAAACGCAAGCAAACATCACATAAACAACATGCAGGTGAGCTGAAACAACTTTAACATTTTGCATGCTTATAACTACTCAAAAACTGAACCTTTAAGTCATACAAACACATCATTATCATCTTAATATCATGCATAACAGTTACTAAAATGGATATAGCAAACTAATCTTGAAAACTTCTAAAAAATGCAAAGGAAGCTCGGTGGCTCAGTTTTCGCTTGGTTCTTGTTGCTGCGGCTTTGTGGCTTGTTCTCTTCGAATTTTCTTGAGTTTAATGCCTCAAAACACTTCTATGGGAAGTTTAGAATGGGGTAAGAGTTATATAATGTGGTTGGTAGCAAGAGTTGATAGCTAGAATTTGAAAATAAACACAAGTATGCACTCAGGATTTTTCATGCTCTCAAGTACTTACTCTCGGTTTTTGCTAAAATGCTCAAGTGTTTGGGAGTGTTTTTATCCAAAATGATAAGTATCATAAGAGTAACAAATGGGGAGACTTTGGAGCTGGGAAGAGGTTTATAGGCCTGTTTTGGGCAGACATTACAATGCTAAGGAGGGTGGGGAACACATGTGGGGGACAAGGTGCTCTTTCTCATTCCCAAAGACACTAAGGCATGCATGGGCTGATGGTGCAAGATTTTGGACTGAAAAGAGGGCTGAGAACTCTGGTCATAGATGCAAAGGTTGAGTGAAAGACACACTCTTACAAGGACTTAAAAAAAAAAAACAATCCCACCCATGCTAGGTTATGAATATAATAAGGCTAATAAAGTTTGACTTGTGCTAATGACTCTTAGGCATGACTTAGGCTTGAAATATCTCTAATGCACTCTCTAATTTTCATGCATGGTTTAATCCATAAGATTGAAGAAGGGTTGGTGGCAACGGACTCGGTCTTGGCTCGGGTGGTAGTGCATGCGCGGCAGCGCGAGCACTCGGCACGAGTGGCTCGAGCATGGGCTAGGGCTCGATTTAAATGTTCAAGACTTGACTTTGATATTCTAATACACTTAGAAATTATTCTAAGTATAAAAATACCAAGACTTGGCTATGCTCGGAAACGACTAGAGAAATGACTCGGAACCAAAACTAGGGTTCGAACCAAATAAATTCTCGAGTCGATTAGCTATAATTTAACAACCCAAATTAATGGATTGATCTTGACTTAAACTTGATATAGAATTTTCCCAAAGAGTGATCTATCAAACTTAGAAAATAAATAGAGCATTTAGCATACGAAATATAACTCGGAATTTCTGAAAATTACGGATATCACTTATAGTTGAGCAGTGAAGCCGTTCTTAACAATATTTCTGATTTGGGGTGTTACATTTATTATCATATAGGCTAAGAGAATGCAACAATTACTAAGGTCTAGATTATTTACTTAGTCAGTATTAAATAATTTTCTTTCTGTAGGTTCATTCAATACATCTAAAATGTACTAGTGCAACTCGTTATAATTATTGACAAATTACATGATACATTCATCCCACATGTCGACATCTTTCACATATCGAGAATCATAGTGATTGATCATTAACTCTTTACAATTATTGACAAATTACAGGATGCATTCATCATACATGTCCACATCTTTCACGTCTCGAGAATCTATAGTGATTGATCATTAATTCGGCGTATATTGATTACTAGGATCAGTTTGGGATCTACGAATTCAACGTTTTCATCATGATTAAAGTTTTACTATGCTAAATCATAAAAGTTAATTATGACTGCTTTAATTTATATCATGATGCCTTTGAAGATTTATTAGATATGGTTAAGTTTACCATTTTCCATTCACAGTTCACATTTATCAACAACAAAGAAAAGGAAGAACAAAATTGAACACACCCCATTCCATACCGTCAAATAGTTGTACTAATCTACAATTTAAAAAATTAGTTACATTGAGGATTATGAATCATAAATTTAGTTTTCTCATTCATTCGAAAGACAATGCAAATTTACATTTGTCCTTAATAAATCGGTCACTATAAAACTCCATAGCGTTTTGCATTGAATAAATCACCTCTACCAAGCATCACATATCACACTCAAGTTAATTAAGCGAAGATATACGATGCAAATTTGCATTCAACTTTTTGTTTGATCTTCTAACCTAAATAATAATTAATAATAATAATAATATAATAATAATAATAATAATAATAATAATAATAATAAGGTACCTATCCCCTTCTAACAAATGTACTAATAAATATCATACTATTGAGAACTCTATTTGACATTGCTCAAGTCTCCACACATGCAAGTACCTATTTTATCAAACGAGAAATTGAAAACAAAATTAAGAAGAGAACACCAAATGCNTTATTCATTTTCACCTGAAATTCTTTCATTAAGCAAGCTCTCTTTCAAGGAGTACATATTTTTTTAATCTAAAATTTATTCAAGATTACACGTTACCCCTTATTCATTTAATCTTTTTGAAGGACACGAGCTTTGTGAGGTTCTTCCAGTCCTGGACCCACACGACCGCGTTGTAGCTCCCGAGAACGCCGTCGCAGCTCCAGATAGGTGTTGTGCAATTATCGTAATCGGTGGTTGTTTCAGACAGATTGTACTTATGTCCCTAGACCACCTGTTTGTAGCCGCTGCACAGTTTTTCGAATACCAGATTCATTTTTTTCTCTTTGTTGTGCTCGATCACTGTGTAATTTGCGAGCGCAATCATGTCGTTGCTCTTGATTTCGTGCCGCGTGAGAGGAGTCCACTGACCACCGCCGCCTTTGGAGGAGGCTATATTGGGAATGAAAAATAACAGACTCAACAAGATCAATGAAAATAAGAAATATCAAGATTCGAGGGCCATATTTTCCTAATTTATTTTCTTTCTTTTTACCATATATATATATATATATATATATATATTTCTTCTTTTTTTTTTCT